AGTGTTGAACTTGGACTTATCCGGTCCGGACTACACGAGGCTATGCGTCTCCTAGCACTTAGCTGTAGTCGCTTATGTAGTATGTTACCATATTTGGGACTCTCTGCTCGTGTACTATAGCTATGTTTCCGGACTCTTCTGGTACTGTCTAGGACAATCCGTACTACTCCAGAACGGTCTAGACAGGTCTATGCCTTACTCATCTCTTACTCATCCTATGGTGCGATACGTCGCAATTCTTTCACCATCGTATTATTCATCGCACTATGGTACATGTGACTAACCACTCTTCGATTAGTCATGGACACTTCTCTGTAGTATATAAGGACTTCAGATTGCGTCCTCCCTCTTCAGTCTTTCCTTACTGACTGAAGAGTGAGTACTTTGTTACATCTATCTCTAACTTGTAGTTACTTACTTAACCTTTTTAGTCTTGCTTCGACTCTAGGTACAGTTCGTTGCTGCAATATAGTCTTTCCTTACTGACTGAAGATCTTGCTTCGACTCTAGTCGGATCTAATCCTTGTCTTCACAGCCCCGAGTTTATCAACGAGAGACTTGTAGCTATACACCATTTGTACACTTCTCTGGTTTTCGAATCACCATTTTCATGCTCTGAACAAAGTAGATAGACGAGCAATGTCTGCGATGCTAGGGGGTGCTTATAATATGTCCAAAACCAGTAAAGTCTAGGAAAGGGAAAATAACATACCAGCTGGCAGGGCACCTACGCCCTTGCCTTCGAATATGCCAAAGCGAACTCTACGGGATCGTAACTCCATCGAAAATCTTGGACACTATGCCCAGAAGAGGTATAGAGTACCGTCACGGCAACCTGCAAGGAGCCGAGGAACCGGAGACAAGGAGAATGTGCTGCCATTGGCATCAGAGGTGCGCTTCCCGGCCCAGCTGGGCATCGCGAATGAATATCGTAGCCACCGCGTCCTTCCAAACGACATTCTTGAGGAGCTCGATCGGGAAGGCATCACTCCGGACAACTAATGATCCCTACTCCATTATCTTTATTCGTGTTATAACTATACTATGTGTGCTCCGCTATTGCTACGTATTCCCCTCTACTTGTATACCTGTCCAGTCATGCCATTGACCACTCTCTCCTCTGCGCGACACTCCCACCTACTTATCGGCTTTAATCAACAAGTTAATATGTTTGGCGCCCTGCTTCACGTGCTTCGTAACGCCGTGACATAGCAGTAGATTGTGCACCGGGCCAATCTTAAGTGCATAGAGCGCTCTTTTGGCGTCCACGGACCGTGGGACCCCCCTGAGCGTTTATCGGGCGCTCAAAGTCTCAAATCCCATAACCTCTTATGACCCACCTTTCCCGACAGGTATGGCCTAAGAGAGTATCTACTGTATTGTGCTGTCACTATTAGCACATCTAGAGTCGTCGCGCACGTCCTAATCACCGGGGACGTACTCGGAAGCTCTATCTTCCCTGTCCGACACTATCGGGGATCGGGTAGGGGGGTGGACCGTTGGAGCATGATAGGGGAAGGAGCCTTGGAGTCCTTGCATGAGTGCCTTTGGATCCTCGGTTGCTCCTCCGGAGCGGTCAGAGCGGTATACAATCTGTTTAGTGCGAACGTGAGCTAGGCTGTGGCTGGTATCGTGGCGCTCTTTGTGGGGCAGTCGAAAGCGCGGCTCGTCGTGCGCCCCTGGGGTGGATGTTTATCTTATCCGCGGCCTTGGCAGGGCTCAGCGTATACCGAAGCCTCAGCGGCCCGACCAGCGAGCATGGTTAGCTTTCGGCTCCCGTGCACCACTTCTGTGAGCGACCTGGTTGATCAGGCACTCGGCCACGCGGGAGCAGGCGGACCTGAGCTTTGAGCTGGGCGAGGGGAGAACCATCCATTAGATGATCTATCGGAGGAGACCCGGGTGTGTGCCTGGGCGGTAGAGATAAGCTTGTATTGGCATGTACACTGTACTTAGGCAATTCAGAGGCGGGAGAGGAAAGGCACTAGTCTCTGTTGGAGCGCGGAACTTCGGTAGTCTTAGCCCTGCACGGCTAGCCAGGGACTACGGCGGGTCGTACGGGTCCGGAGGGAAGGCGATGCCCCCTCTGAGTGCAGATTATGGCGGCATACGTCACAGACATATGAGCTACATGACGAAATATGTGCTGTGTCGTGCAAATGCAGGATCACGATGACTGTGGAGTGCAGAGATATTCCATCCCTAAGTATACAGCAAGTAGCAGAGGACTCGGAAACCACGGAGGACATACACGTTAACCACCAACTCGCTCTCCAAAAATAAAACGACCATCAACCCGGGAATTCCCTCCCAACAGCATAGCATTGTCGATCCTCCCACCGTGCCCTCACCCAGCGCATATATTTAGCTCGAGCTCAAACCGACACGCTCGTTGCAGCTTTGTGTCTGTGGTCAAACTTGTTTGTGTCCATAGGGTCTGGGAATCATACACAACGGCGCCCGATTGCGCGCGGATATGGAAAAGTGGGATATCGGACTTGGACATACGTGTATGTGGGATGCGTGCAGAAGGGGTCGGAAGCGAGGCGAGGAGAACTGTTAGTTTACGTGCCCGCCATGCCGATGACGCCGACTGCGTCGCGGATCTTTGCGATTTCGCTGACAGACAGGATGCCTTTGCTCGCGCAGAAGAAGTCCTCCCATGCAGCAGCCGCATCCGTCTGTGTCGGGAGCTCCGTCCTACAGGAAGAAGAAATGGGAAGTTAGTTCAGCCCTTGCCACCTACCGTGTTCTTCGTAGTGAAGACAAGCGGAATGCGACGAAGACCGCGGACAGACGTACTACAAGAGGAGGGGAAGGCGAGGAAGAGAAGGCGAGAATCATCGTCGAAGGTAAGGAGACGATCGCATAGCAGAAGAACGCGAGCGCAAGATGATACACAACAACAATGGGAACACTCACTTGAGGAATGCATAGAGCTTCTCCCAGAACTCCGGTTTCGCAATCTTCGAATGATATGGCGTGTCCGACACGGACGCAGGCGATGCCGGAATTGTAGATGTGTCCAGAACAAGTGGAATATCGACCAACGTCTCCCCAGGCGTAGGTGTAAGCGAAGGCGACGGTGATAGCACTACCGACGGTATTCGCCCGTGCCCACTCCGCGTCTTCGTCGGCTCCGGGCTAGGGAGTAACGTGATGCTCTCTCCCTTCTTTCCCCCTTCTTGCGGTAAGGGGGATGCCGTGGGTGCAGGGGTAGCGACCTTGGACGGATCCCACTCGAAGCCAGGCTTGATCATGAGGTTGATAGTGTCGCCGTCCTTTACGGCGTACTCCTGAAGGAGCTTCGCGTCCGCGAGGGCCTTGCCCTTGAGCAGGAGGCGCTGCGCGTCGGCGGGAGGCGCGCCTGTGGTACCGGCGAGCTGGGCCTTGATCTGTGCGATGGTGTCCGTGGGCTGGATGGAGAGCGTGTAGGACTGGACGGGCTTTGTTGACTTGAATGTCACATTGATGGATCCTAGATAGGTGGGAAGGAGTGTAAGTTCGGGTTCGGGTGCTGTGCAAATACTACGCGAAGAAGGGAGCGCGAAAGGGGTGCTGCAAATGGTGTATACGTACCTGTCGGTGCAGAGACAGAAGTACGACGCTCGGGGGGTGGTGGGACCTCGATCTGTGTGGATCCGATGCGCAAGGCAGATATCATTAGACGAGTTCCATTTCTCATAGCGGGAGGCCACTGGGCAGAGGCAGCAGGACGAAGACGCACTTGAAGCACAGGAACCTTCTTAAGCTCGTTCTCCGGGGCTGTCTGGTAGTCGTTCGCGTAGACCACAGGCTGCGTGGTCAGCGCGGCCGCAAAAGACTTCACAAACGCAAGCTCAGCTTGTTCTGCCATGCTCGCGGTAGGTAAAGATATGTAGTGTTGGCAGTGTGAGGTGTAGGAGGGAAGGTGGTGGTGACGGAGACGACGGCAGGCTTCGCGAATAGCCCCGCTGGGTGGCAGTGTGCAGCCGCTACATAGGCGCCAATGACGCGCCCGCGCTCAAGGGAGCGCCTGCAGGAGGAGGTCACAATGTGACATTTGTCACCCACGGAGGCAGGAGGCGCCAGGGTGTGCTGGTAGCCGTTTCACGCAACGACCCCGACGACTTGATTGAGTTTCCCCCTCGTTCTCTGAAGAATGGCAGTACGTCTTTTCCGCACTTTTACATGGAGAGGCTGTTGAACACGTCCGTGCTATAGTCAGGGTTTGGCTACCACGGAGGTGCGTTCATTCGCGGGAAGTGATCAGTGTCCGGCATGAATATGGTCTCGGTTTGCAGGTGTCCCTCGCTGCTTCGCATACTGGCAGGAGTTCTCCAAAGTGCGTCCCTCGCTCTCTACTCTTGTGCTCTTGTCTGACAGCGTTCTCGCGCATACAGTGCTATGCCCAGACGGACGTCCCTAGCCAGTGCACGGCGCAAGCCGAAGACTACCTCGAATGCCTCCACCACACGAAGGAGGTGCGTTACCCTTCAGCATCTCTCTCTGAACACCTTCATCTAATTGGCTGCACTCCATTCTCGGCATTGCTTCGCGCTCTCTTCCGGCCTCAATTCGCTCGTGCCCTATCCTCGGTTGTTCGGGCATCTAGATTGCGCGTGCGAAAGCAGTCAAGGCCGAATTCATCCGCAAGGCGGAGCACCAGGCCCACGATAGGCGCAAGGCGGCGGATATTCTTGCGGACGGTGTCATTGTCGGTGTTGGGCTGATACAACGTGGGGAGGCGGCGCATTCGAAGTAGGCGCTATGCCATTTCTCTAATCTATCTCGCTTTCACTCCCTGTTTGCTGCATGGATTGCGTGATCGTTATTCATTGCGACGACAAACGTATGCACTCGGGTGGAGACAACAAGGACGGTGATTACTGCTAGGCCCGAGCGTTCCTGCTCAGCAATTATGAGGTGAGTTTTGATTGCTGTCTCGCCGTCTCTGTTGTCACTATGGCTTGTAAGTTGCTCTGTCAATTGCATTTAGCTGTCTGAGAGGCGACCATCCCTTTCGCGGGCTGGCGCGCATATGTTCAGTCTGTCTCGTTTCCATGATCTAGTACTCACGTTGCTCGGTTGTTTTATCACCGCTTGCTCTAATGTCCGTCTAGTCGGGTAGCTAAGGTCGTTCTTCTTACAAAGTACTGGTGAGTTCTATCTCCCATTCTATGTGTAGCATCTGGAGCCTCACTGTTTTGTGTTAGGAGTTGGCAAGTGTTTGCACATGCGCGGTTCCGATTAAGCTCGCATCATTTTCTGGACTGCACAACTTAGTCCGGCACTTGCAAATCTTGCAACGTCGCTCGCAATCCTCCGGGTCTTTTTGTCTTGTGACTCTTTGTACCAACTTAATCAGCAGAGCAGCGGCGCGCGTGTCCCGTCTTCCGCTTCCTGGCTCCAAAAATGTCTCGTCTGCGCCTCTGCTCGCTTCACGATGGCCCCCGCTCCCTTCGCCAGAATACCCCAAGTACTGGCCAGACCGTCGGTGGAATGCCATTTGAATGAGCCTTGTCCCCCGTTGGATTAGACCTAGCAGGAGCGTCACTTTTCACATGATCCCGGCCCCACCCCGTTGGTTCAAAACAACCGCACGCCCACTTGCTGCTCCTTCTCTTCGCTGTTTCTATCTTGTGATTCGCTTCCGACCACATTTCTAGGCTTACATTGTCATTTGATCCACTACGTGCCCCTCGCCTCCCTTGCCCTGATGTCCGGTTGTGCTTACCCAGACATATGATCATAGCTTTACTCTAAACGAGGCTCCCAAGACTGACCAGTACGAAAAAGACTCGGACCAAGTATCCATGTGCCAAAATGTATGCGGTCCGCTCCCATCTCTCTCTTCCTAATAGATATTGGTTACACTCATGTACGACGTTGGGCTACATATAGCGAACTCAATCGATGACTTCTGCTTCTTCTCCCCGCAACAACCAGGGGTTCAGTCCACCATCGGACCACCGAGCGTGAAGAGGGGTCCTACTGCATGCAGCCTGGATACGGAACCCAAGCCATTCTCTCTGACACCATCACCGGCACACACCTTGTCTAGTCCCCCGGACTGCGTAAAAGTGACTGGTGTCGGTGACTTGACCAAGGTCAATGTTCTTCAAAGCGACTCCGGAGGCGAGCTCGATCCCCACGCGGCAGATGGCAATGATGAGTCAGTTACTTACATGTCGGCACGTCCGGTCTACCAGACTCACATACTCATTGAATAGTAAGGCATCCCGATTGGACGCCTCGTCGCTAGCAGCGTGTTTGGCGGCGTGGTGCAGCAAATACACGAATGGACGGTATGTCGCGCAATTGCATACACACGATCTATGTGCTCGTCGTGACGTCACACTGATTCTACCTTTCTCATTCAGAACTTCATGGATTACGAGTCGTTATGCATCCGTGCATGTAAGGACGGACCTGACGCTGCCGCCCTTTGCCAGCACATTTACGACGTGTGGGCTGCCAGGGGAACATGCCGGGCGACTACACGGATGGGTTCGATTACCGCAAGGATGACACTGGAGAGGTGCGATATGTACTTATCACTCGGACAAGTCTGATGTTCCTGTGTTTGTCATAGCCTATGGGTGTATCCGGCACATCCACCTTGCACCAGGGCAAGTTCGCCGCGCCGGCCACCCACCCTGCACCGGCTACATCGCAGTGCACCAAGGTTGCCACTATAGGGAGCGGCTCCATGAGTGCAAGCACATCAACTTCCTGCGCGTCAGCGTCGTCACAGGCTACTGACGTGAATGCTCTACCTTGCTTTCCCAATGCACGCTTGCTGAGCGCGGCTTTGTCTACGATCAGCCATGATCTCCCGGTCCGCGCCCGCACTCCGACGCTCTCTCTCACTATAGCGCTCCCACTGCGGGGCATGTGAGTGGCAACGGCGCTGAGTCGCTCTTCGGCCATGGGTTGGATGTGGCGGTCGCGAGCGCTGCTAGAAGATTGTTCTAAGTCGCTAACAAGGCTGTGGAACTTGCTTGCTCGCGTGGTGTCTGTGCAACCTGTCTCATATTGATCTAATGGTACGTAGGGGTCTCTGTGTCTATGTACGGTAGTGGTGGAAAAGATAAAGGCCTCTAAATGGTATAGTCTTTATTCTATAACTTCAGTGTCGTGACGTCATGTGCCCGCGAAAACGTGAGTCTAGGTTGAAGCGCCGGAGGTATAACGAGGTAAAGAAAGTTTGTTCAAGATCAGGCATTGCCAAACAATTTGCCGAGAACCAAATGGCGTGCCACAATCATCAGCAATACCGACCCACAGATGGTCGACCCTATAACAATCAAACGAATCAACGGCTCGGTTCACATCGATTACGGGGTTGACAGTACCTGCAAAGTACCCAACGTTTTCAAATGACCCTGTGTGGTCGAGAATCGCACCAGAGATAGGAGGACCAGCGAGCGCGCCGAGCGACATGACCGTGAAGGCCATGCCCGTGCGCATGCCGACCTCCGTAATCTTCCCCATGCGCACGATTGGCTGCGCCATGATGGCCACAAATATCCCTGACGATATTCTGGGAAACATAAGGGGGTGGACTCTCAGCAAGCGACTCAAGACACAGCACTGAATCAGACAAACCCGTAGAGGACTGCAACAGTCACGAGGGAACCCGTAGTCTTCGCGAACGGCCAGGCGAAAGTCAAAGCACCCGCTGCTAGAGTACCGGGGATGAGGACGTTCATTGCACCTGCGTGACCGTTCAGTTCACAGCATTATGGCGCTGGCGTACTGTACGTAGCAACTCACCGACGCGATCAGCCGAAGCGCCGCCACCAAGCCGGCCTAATAGGGAGCACGCATTGGCGATGGAGAGCAGGTAGAATGACAAGTCCGGGTCTATTCCCGCTACTACCCCGCTGATGGAGAGGTATGTCAAGCACTTCACGGTCCTTCACGTTAGCCACCGTCCTGCACTTAGATCGACGGGTGGTGCCACATACGGTGTAGAGTCCCAGGAAGCCAACAAAAAGAGCTAGGCAGTAGATAGAGTATGTGACGTCCTTGAATACGGCGAGGTTAATAAAGGGACCCTGGTTCGGTTTGGGGGGCAGCCTCCGTGCGATGGCCTGTAACAAGCGAGGGGGTCAGTGCGCCCACGCTGGCAACCGAGGTTCCGGGGAAGGGTCAACGCACGAGGTTGAGGACTATAAGGAATGCGGCCATGATGAAGCCCGTGATGCGGAGGGTCCATTTGAAGCTATGAATACTATAAGCAAGAGCGGCATGGTATGGGACACTACGATGAGTGAGCTGACCCCTGGGACTCGATGAGGTTCTTGAGGATGATGGGGAAGATGGTCCCGCCGATACTCGAGCCTCCAGCCATACAAGCAAGTGCGAGGCCAAGTTTCTTTCGGAACCAATGCGGGACGACCCCCGCCGCAGTGGTGAATACCGCGCCACTAGCGAGCTAGCATCAGTTGAGGTTAAGCATACCGAGATGGGTCATAAGATTTGGCATGGAACTCACGCCGATGCCGAAACCTTGGCAGAGGATGAAGTGCCAGAACTTGGTGCATTCGGCGGTGAGGAATGTGCAGGCTATGAGCAGTGCAGAGGCGACGAAGACGGGGAGTCGGAGATAGCCCATGTCGAAGAGCCTGCCGAAGGCTAGGCCGGGCATGAAGACCAATGCATACTGACTCTGATAGTTAGGCTACTGACGACAGGCCCGAGACGGAAAGCGCACCTGTAGAGATCCAATCCAAGCACTACATCGACACAAACAGACGTCGGTCACTTTCGTCGACCGTGAAGCGAGAAGCACACTTACATGTCGGAAGGAGACGTATTCCTCAAAGTGACTTCTTCATAGTACGCCTGGAAGACCTACAGACCCTATCTTGAGATACAGACAACAGATCAGATATGGGAGGGTACACTTACACCCCACGCATTGACGAAGCCGAAGGTGGCGCATATCCCTGACGTAGTCTACGGAGACACCGTCAGGACCAAGAGATGTGGATCGGCACAAGGAGAAACCCACTCCGAGAACGACAAGCCACGCTCGCAGACCACCATCAGGGTAGTCGTCCGCCTGGTCGGCGCCGTCCCGTGTGTTGGCCTTCTCGACGTCAGGATGCTCTTTCTCGAGCCCCGTAATTTGTTGAGTATGATCGGCGTGCGTTGAAGACGCGCTCGAAGAGATGCTGGGATGGGTGTTCATGATCGAAAGCCGCTACCACACTGAAGGTCACTGAAAAAGAGGGGCGAAGAGCAGAAGATATGGTTGTAAGCGAGACAGACGTATGCGCGTCTTATAGAACTTACCAGATAGTCCGGACACGGCCAGAATGGGAGTAGAATGGCGAGATTGTGAGTGACGCATGCCGCGGATATTATACTCGCGCAGAACATGCTGAGATGCAGCAGTTTTTGGCGATTGACTTGGTTATCGCGCGTAGGTATTCGGTAGAAAAACACAATGGAACCACCATCCGGCACGAAATGCGAACACGGCATGTTGGAGTCTAGCCAACCAGACCAGCGAACGAGACTCGGAGACTGGATTTGTCCGAGCGAGCGCGCCGCCTATTCGAGGTTTGCATGCAGCAAGTTCTGAGCGGCGATCTAAGATCTGGAACAGAAGAACGGCGTTGTTAGCGCATGTCGAAAATCACAAGCTTCACCGAGTCCTGCTCACCGGATGACAAGTATGCACCATACCCGATTGACCTCAGGAACCATTTCTTGCGGCACATCAATTCTTTTCGGACAGGAGACGGAATCGACGTGTTCGAGGTCTACTCCCGACTCCGAGGAAATGCTTGTGTTGATCGATCCTCCTGGATACCTCCCCTACGCCTATGTTGTTGGTTGACTGATACTCGTATCTCCTTCATGATCATCATACTTCAAAGACTTGGTAAGTTTCGATATCTGAGGTCTTCTTATGAGATGCCTTGAGGTGACCCGCCATGTTTGTTATCCCAACGGAGATAAGCAGAGCGGCAGTCAGCACCGGAGCGCCCAACAGGAGCCCACCGACTCACTTTCTATCTCGATTCCTCAAGATGGTGTGACGCGGCGATGCTTGGACATCTTGACTTGCATGTGATTATTGCAATGGCTGATGCCCGACAAACGTGCGCCTGCTTCTATATATACTTACTTGAGGCTACGAGAGCGATTGACATGGCGCTACATGTGTATTTCCAAATCTGAAGACCGCCGTTTTGCCACCGTGCCGCTGCCATATGCGCTGGATCACAGCACTTCCGGTACAGCCTAGAAGGTCAAATAGCACATAAGAAGGGGGAGTGCTTGGGTATGAAAGTCGTTGATGCTCACCGCAGTCGTTGGGTATGACGCGGAACATGCTGTGTAGCCTTCCTGTAACGATCTTCGAGGCTACCGGCGGCAGGCGTTTCTTAGGCCTAAGCTCCAGCCACGTGGGTATTGTCTTTACACGATGCACGTATCATGCCCGGTCTACCAGTACTAGTGTGACCCCAGAAGCTACTGACACGCCTCCAGTTCTCGCATTTCCCTGTCAAAAAGTGTGCACGGGTTACACGCGAGAAGACGTACTTCAAAAATATCATTGTAAAAAACAAAGAAGGAAATCGGAAGGGATTTGCTCCCGATACAAGTCAATCTCAGTAGGGTTTCAAGGGTTTACTGACCTTGGTGAGCTGCCACAAAAAGATCTGCAGCGCCGATCTTTCTGTAACTTCGCAAAGTGTTCTGAACATTCTCAATAAACTTTCTTGTTCAGTCTCCGAAGGGTTCCGGGTTGCAGTATTCGAAAGATAGGAAGAGGTCTCTCGAGCGTGACATTCAGCCACTGACCGAGATAAAGCTGACTTTCAATCTGAGCGCTTCGACAATGTTGCCCCGGCCAACTTCGCTATCAAACGACTGATAACAGCGGTGTTTGAATCGGCAGTCTTCGGCATTGTGACCATCCATGACAATCTATGGGCGCTTTTCCGTAGCTTCTGGGGTCAGACGTGTAATTCCGCGATGCTCAATGCAAACCTCCACCGATTTTCTTCATATTTCACCCATATGTACTGTCCAGGATGCAAGTGAAGTGTGCGAAGTCTGAAATGTATTGGAGAGGAAGGGAGGGAGATATCCATGAAATACGTTATGGGTCGTAGCTTCTGGGGTCATGCTAGTAACCACCGGCCACTAGCAACCGCACATCGCCGCGGCTTGCATGTTTCCGTCATATTGAGGTCCAGCTCAATATCCATCCATATCTCATTTTGATTGCTGTAGTGATCTGCTTCTGGACTCTATGCTCATCAACATGTCTATGTACGTATGTCGTTCTCCTACCTTCAATCCTCCCAGATTCTCTGTCGGCCCTCGACGCACAGGACAAGCGCATTAAGCTCGAAGGCGGTTGGGGCGGCAAGATAAGCGATCAGTGACGATGAGTATGGTGACATGACATCGACCTGTGCGTTCTTTCCCCATATAAGGTATCGCTCACTCAAATCGTAGTCGCGTGTATGATTCAGCTTCGCCCTCTCTTACGCATACAAACACCTCGCCGTTGGTCCTGTGGCCTCACAAACCCATTATATACAGGACGTCTCGCATCGCGCACACCCCAGCAGCATTCCTTGCACGCATATTCCGTCGGGATACAGACACAGAAGCTACGACCACGCAACATGTCCATCCGCGACGTTTCTCACCAGAGCGACATCAGCAAGCGCAAGCCGGACGCTGACGGCAGTTTCAAGCGCAAGCCGTCCTCGTTCAGAAACTCCATCCAAAAGGGCGGCGAGTTTCCCCCAGAGAAAGGTGCCATACCTCTTATGTGCACGTCGGGACAGAATGTTAACGTGGCGTACGCATTGCAGGTCGCTACCATCTCTACGTCTCATACGCGTGTCGTGGGTGCAGTCAGCTCGTATTGCGCGGTCGGATGACTCAGTTGTTCGTGGTCAGCATGGGCGACTCGGGCGTTGATTGTGCGGAAGTTGAAGGGCCTTGAGGAGTTCATCGGTAAGCAGCACTTCTGTTTTCCTGTCTAAGTGCGCAATATCAAAGAGCATGCGACCCCTCAGACGTCAGCGTGGTGTCACCGCACATGGGCGAGCACGGCTGGCCATTCGCCACTGCGGACGCGTTCCCCGGCGCGGATCCCGATCCGCTCTACGGCGCGAAGCACGTCAAAGACCTGTACCTGAGGGCTAAGCCCGACTATGATGGCCGGTGAGTGCTGATATGCACGCTGGGATTAGATTGATGCACGACACTGACATCGTCACGCGCATATAGCTTCACTGTGCCGGTGCTGTGGGATAAGAAGAGAGAGACGATCGTGAACAACGAGAGCTCGGAGATCATCCGCTTCCTCAACACCGAGTTCAACGACCAGCTCCCCGCGGACAAAGCTAAGATTGACCTATACCCCGAGCACCTTCGCAAGGAGATCGATGAGATCAACGACTGGGTCTACGACACTGTCAACAGTGCGTATCGCCCTTTCCCCGTTGCCCGTCTTTCATATCCCTTTGACTTGCTGACGATCAACCCACATTGCATCAGACGGCGTATACAAGTCCGGGTTTGCGGCGACCCAGAAAGCCTACGAAGCAGCCGTCATTCCCCTCTTCGAGTCGCTCGACCGCCTCGAGAAGATCCTCCAGGGCAAGGACTACCTCGTGGGGAATCAACTTACCGAGGCCGACGTCCGCCTCTTCGTCACCATCGTCCGCTTCGACCCGGTGTACGTGGGTCACTTCAAGTGCAACATCCGCACGATCCGCGACGGGTACCCCGCGCTCCACTTGTGGCTGCGGAAGCTGTACTGGGGCAATGATGCCTTCTCGAGCACCTGCAATTTTGAGCATATCAAGGTGCACTACTACTGGTCTCACCCGATGGTGCGTATTTCTCTCCTCTTGGTCGAAGGCTCTCTTATGCAGCGCCTTGATAGATTAACCCGCACCGTGTCGTGCCTGTGGGTCCTATTCCGAACATCCTCCCGCTCTAAGTGCACAACGGGAGAGCGGATTATGAAGAAAAAGAGTTGTATCATAGTGCCGCGCCTTGGGTAGTACCACTCCAGCTGTACGACAAGGCCTTCTGACTATAGTCAGTGTACAGTGTATTCTGAGATGCGCCTTGAAGCAGTGTAAAGCCTAGACAAACTCAATCGTGCGTCAAGATGCTGAGGGGCTTCCTTTTCCGTCGGCAACTGGGCCCCCAGTTTGCTTTGGGCCTTACCGTCCCATCGTAGAAAATCATCCGGTGGAGGTCTCCCGTTAGGAGGTAGGTTCGCTGTCAGTCGCTACTATACTGTCTAGGATTGACCCCACCGAATCTCCAGATAAAAACGCGCCTATTATCCGTCTATGCTGCAATCACCCCTGTTGGGCAGCTGTGGATGTGAACCCTCTTAAGACCGTATCTTGCTTCTGTACTCCGGCGTGCTGCCCTTAGATGGACCGTTCTCGCAGTTGAGCAACACGCGTCCAGCCAAAGGCCGGACGGAGCAACGCGCGCCGCTCAACGGTTGTTACGTGCGCTCGCGCGACTTCGCTTCGCTTCGTCGTTCCGCCCGACATGGTCAACTTACCTAGTGCGCGCTTGCCGCCGTACGCGCGCAGGCGCGGCGTTGGTGAGTATATAGTCAATTTCACAGTATTTTATACCTTCTGCACCCTTTGATCAGCTCTGGTGGTTTGCGTTTAGCCCGGTGAGGTTACGAACGTCTCGTAAGGAGGATTTTTCTCGCTGTCGACCATCCTGTGCGACGTGCAGCCTCGCGGAACGCCGCCGGACATGACGTCTGCATCTCCGAGGGGAACCTATGGAGAACGGGTACGGCCTGGGTGGCTGAGGTCCTCTTCCCGTTCTCTTTGGACGACTTAAGTAGTCTCCCATGATTCCACTAGTACAACGTCATGGATGCCTTCCTACGTGCTCGCATTGGTCTCACGAGGGCTGTCTTCAGATACGTATGAATACTCAAGACATCCCCTTCTGGCTGTTCTGTCGACCTTGCAGTACAGCAAAGGTTGAGAGTAAGAGCGCACGGACACGCTCTGTCTGTCGTGAATGAGCGACCAAGTACCACTCGTCGTAGACCCCTGTCTTAGCTGCACGCTCGAGCAGGTCGAGCAATCCTCATGATGATTGCGATGACAGTGGCCACAAAGGCCCTCGCACGCATCGACCCGGGACGCCCTTCCGCCCACCACTGGCATGAAGCCGCGACTTATATCACTCACCGCCGTCTGGAGGGCATACCGACTAGCAGCGCTGATTGCATGACATATTCGCCGCCTAGTAGCATATCTTGCCAATCTACCGGAATGGCTGCCCAGAGCAGTCCGTGTCGAGCGTCCGTTTATGACGCATAGCGTGTCTTTTTGCATCTCCTTGCATCTCCCTAGTACGCATGCTCGTTTGAGCAACTAGCAACTTCGGTGTATTCGTCCGTATTGGTATTTGTATCTCGCATCCCTAACGTGTGCACCAGCCCGACATCTCTACTGGCATGGTATGTCGGCTCTGTATTGAGATATCGGCAACGTCAACCCCTAGAATTACCATTACCATATCTGTTGTTTCGAGGACACGTTCTACGCTCTAGTGCTTGATGTCAGGACGTCTCCAGAAACCAGTGTATACCAATATACTTCACAAAAATATATATCCGTGAATCCGAGTCAGAGTCCCAATATCTGAATGCATGCAGGCCAGATGACTGTCTCCATTCTGGGCGATTCCTTTCCAGTGATCTATCTTGGACTGAGAGCGCTGTCAGCCAGGTCGGTATACTGGATCAGATAGGTTGTTCATACCTTGGCGTTGAGCATGGTGTCGGAGTTGTACTTGACGTGAGTGTCCGCGTTGGTTTGAGGGCCGCTTGTGGATTTCTCCGTGACTCTGCAGCGGCTGGATGACCATCTAATCTTACGACTGCATACGATCTGAAAAAGTGCGATGAATCTAGGCAACAGTAATGCAATGGATATAAGCATCAGTAAATAAGGAGAGGGTCATACAGCTACCTACCAACAAGCATGGGGCTTACGAACGCTAGGTTAGCTGGAGCCGCTGCAAATCATGTGGGGAGACGTACAACTTGGTGAGACCTAGGTCACGAAGCGGGCTCCACTTTAGATTTAGCACATGCCACACTACGGATATCAGCAATCAGCAGCATGCCGCTCAGAAGACCATTAGACAACTTACGACCTGTTGAAACGCCAGTCGTGCTTGCGGTCTCGAAAACCCTCTTGCAACAGAGGTGGTCAAGGAATCGCACACGCGTGAGGTGTCTAATAAAAGACTGACTCAACCTGTGCAACATATATCAGAAATGAGAAAGGAGCGTCATTGACGTAAAAAGGAGCGTCATTGACGTAATAATCGTATCTCAAAAGTCATAGCTGTACGGTAAGACATCGGGAAACACAAATCTGAACAACCGTTGAAATACGCATGCTCTTCGAAGTACATGAACTGTGGGCGTGCAATTGGTACCGCTACACATGAAGGCAGCTTTCAAGCACGTACATCTGAATGCACGCCATGCCGTGGAAGACCCAAGAGAGCAGTGACCCGATCACACCTGTTCCTCATGGACGGTCTCAAGGATACTCAGAGGCCAGAAGACAGCTCATCTTCGTGTACCATAGGGCGATAGAACGCTTGGGCGTCGATGTAGTGAGAGAGAATAATCGCCCTGGGGCATGTGCCAATCTAGTTCTCGGCGACCATCGAAGATGGCATGAGGGCTTCACCATCACTGACGGGGGCGGCATTCATCGTCATATCCTGTTGAACGATTCATCGCCTCAAGTACTAAAATAACAAGCTGCTGGGTAGACTCACCTGTTGTGTGGGTTCAGGGAGAACGGCGTTATCCGTATGGATTCCAATGGTCATCTGCTGATGCAGCATGGTCTTCCGGGTAGGCGGGTCAAGTGAGCTCGACCTAAATTGCGAGCCAAGACGGTGACCTACGGAACGACATCGAGTGATATTCCATAAATGGACTCTTCGACTGCAGAAGTTCTTATAGACACTGTGCACCGGCGGAATTCTTGCCTGCCCTACTTAGGGGGTCACCAAATGGCTCGAAGCCTTCACTGTCATATTCCGCTCAGTTGTAGGAACGCGATCATAGTGATGGACAGCTTACAAGACAAGCGGCTCTCAGCAAAGCGAAAGGAAAAGGGCAGAAATGTCGTACAAATCCCGGAGACTGTGGTAATCGCGCACCTCCGTACAAGGCAAGTCCGCTGAGTCCGATCAGTGTCAGTGAGGGCTTCCCCTCTAAAGAACTCTAGCATCAGGATTCTAACGCACCTTCACACACTTGCTACATTGAGTCCTGTATCGACACCACGATCTACTTAACGTGTGTACGGCATGCGTATGTGAAAAAGAAGCGTTCTCGATATGTGGTAAAGACCATTATAGGTTAATAATCACTTTGGTTCTCAACATTGCCGGTATATCTCAGGGCTGGTTTTAGAGGAGAGCCTAGATATTGGCGGTGTAGTAGTTGGCCCACCGGTCTCACCCGGACTAGACGAGAACAACAATCCAATTCGTGGTCAAGCGCGCCGCCAAATCATCCACACTGTTATAGAGATTATGGCTGTATGCACACGACGTGGTTAGTGCATAGGACTTTTATACGTGTGTTATGAAAACGTACATCCCATACACATGCAGTGTGAAAAAGACAGTCTGCCCCCAATGCTAAAGGTATGTGCGGCGACCCATCCGGTCCGCGTCACTGGATCAACGTAACTTACCACAGTGCTGTGACGGACTCATCGCCAAACTGCTGCCGCACTAGTTAGTAACGTGCCTTTACCTCAGGGGTAGCCAGAATCTCGTTCGACTGCCCAACCAATGGGGGAATGTCAACGCGTCGTAGCTGAAGTCTAGCTCCCCTGGCTTTTCTTGCTGCACCGCACGTGTGAGATGAGTGTATAGACGGCCCGCCGGCGTGTTACCTTCACCCATTCATGAAGAGCAAGGATCATGAGGAAGCAGGAGCGAAAGCTCTGAGGCTTTCAGTCTTGGGAATTAGTAATTGCCCTTCATGCGGCAGATTATGGCGCCGCCGGATGCAAGTAAGTACAAGATGAGTAGTTACGTGTGTGTGTCAAGGTTCTCGGGGTCCTCGGCGCTCGACGCCTTGCTGCCAGGATGTGCTGGCTTGTTCAAGCACATGTACGTACATTCACGATCACGGAAACACCTTTCACCATCAAGACTGTCGGATGCGCGGTGCTGATCATCGCGCACATCACAGGTTCTCACTTCTGAGACACGAGAATCCGTGTCGTTATCGCCAAATCAACAGGCGTACTGGCAGCACGTAGCGCTGCTTCTCGGTGCCCAGGCCGCAGTGAATGATACTGATCCCAGCACGTCCTTGTTCCGCACTCGGAGACGGGAGGAGTAGTTCAACCCATGCGCTGCAGTCTCGGCCCAAGTGTCCTGTCTTCGACGGTATCGGGCAGGGTCGGCGTTCGGCAGGAAATGCCAAGGCTTCAGTTGCCTCCCAACAACAGGAGTAGCACCGTGCGATTCCGAGAGGCTTCTTCAAGTGCTCGGTTGCCTGAGGGCGTGTTACACGCTCTTACCATCCCAAGGAAGCATGCGTGATATCTCCGAGGGTCTTCCATGTTGCTATCTGGAGGCAGGCTGTTAAACCAACACCAGTTCCGAGAGCTCCCCCAATCAATCAAGGGAGCACCTATCCTCTCGGAACATTCCACTGCTAGCATCGCCCCCTCCTACGACAACAGACGCCGGAATCATGGCCAAGCCAAAAGCCACTCGCGGCTCTTTCTGGTCTAACATCTCCAATCTCTTCAGTGGCAACCGATCCTCGAATTCGCAATCCAGCCTAGCATTCACGTCAATGTCTACCCTTGCCGTCAACGACGTCGGGACTGAGCTGTCGTATATCGATAGCGGTGTTCCCAGTGGCACCAAGGAATACGTGACTATCTTTGCAATTCATGGGACTGTGTTTACTGGCCGTGAGCTTCGCCTTCCTCTGCTCATTCTCATCACAGCTAACATTACACATTGCTATCAGTAATCTGGAATAGGGTCATCTCACTCGCCCCAAAGTCAGGCGTGAGATTCGTCGCTGTGAACCGCCGCGACTATCCCGGTTCCACTGCTCTCTCCCCCGAGGAGATCAACGTCTTGAACTCTGGGACCGACGACCAGAAGGCTGAGTTCCTGAAAGCGCGTGGTGTGGAGATCGCAACGTTCATCTCTCTCTTCGCCGAGAAGCACGATCTCCCCGCTGCATCTGCTGATGGGACCGCCGGAGGCTTCGGAATTGTGGGCTGGTCTTTGGGCTGCGCTTTCGCCCTCGCCGCCGTCGCTGCCGTCGACGCCCTCCCGGAGCCCGCACAAGCGCGCTGGAAAGCCGGCGCACGCGCCTTGATCTTGCAGGGTACGTGTCATAATGCCATCCCTCTGCATCGCCACTGACACTGATCATTTTTACAGAGCCACCTACCGTCTCTCTCGGAAAAGCGATCCCTCCCGATGCGTGGACGCCGCTTGTCGACCAGAGCATGCCCGCTGAGGCCCGTACGGCCTTCTTCTCGCACTGGATCACCTCCTACTTCAAGCACGGCGACCTGTCATCGCGCGACCCCAAGGCCATCTCCTACGTCGTCCCGGCAACCTCGCGCGCGCCCACGATCTACTCCTTGACCGAAGAGGAGGTCAAGCACTCGATCTACGAGCCGTCCGCCTTCGGGTCTGACATGGCTTTCATGATCTTCTCGGCGCCCCAGATCGCCGCGACGTACAAGAAGGCGGTGTTCGACAAGGACCTTCGCGCTCTTGTCCCCAACTTGAAGGTCACCGTCTTTTCCGGCGACGCGACAGCGTCGTTCTCCATCCCGTCACAGTGGGAGGTCGAAGACGACGACAAGGCTGCCGGCGGTGGCTTCGTTACAGTCAAGTGGATTCCGGGCTTCAATCATCTTGTACGTTCTTCCATTGTTCATGTTATCCTGACGTCCTTTGAACTATTCCCGGTTGAACATAGGCGCACGTCGACGAGCCTGCTGCTACGCTGCAAGTGTACAAGGATGCTTTCTAAAGCGCGTTGTTCTGGTTTTTTTTATCGATAGGACCTTGTTGTAGGAATATTTAAGTAACGTGTGACGCGTGGACGGTGTCAGATGCAAATATATCCGCTCAGTAAGAGAAAACGATCGATGTCGAATAACCATCAGAACGCAAGACCGTAAATATGAGGCTTTCGCATTAGATACAACACACGACCCCTCGCAATTGAGATGAGGATAGGCAGCCGTAACGGGGAAGACCCCCAGGTTTCACAAGCTCGACTTCGCTACTAATCTTCACCGTGCAATCCCAACAGCTCCTCCGCCTTACCGCGTGGCTTGAGAATGCTGCGGAAGGGTTTAGGAGTTCTATAAATGATGCTCAGAACCGGAAACACTCCACAAAAGCTGACTTTCGGACGTACGACAGTAAGCCTACGGCGAAGTCGAGCGGGGGCATCTTGGTGATACCATCCTCTATCGGTGGAAGAAGCTCGAATATGGCGATAGTCCGTGCAACAACCAGGAACAGGTAGGCGTTGGCGAGATGCATCCCGGGACAGAGTCTGGTGCGAGGTGTCTGTCAAGGAACGCACAGCGAGGACGACGGAAGAAGGAACGACGTACCTCCGGCCGAACCCATAGATCAAAGTGCGGGGGTCGCGCGCGGGCCCGGTTCCACCAGGAAGGAATCGATCAGGGTTGAACTCTTCGGGATCGGGGTAGTCATTTGCGTCATGAAGCATTGCCCTGCCCAGAGATGAGGCACTGCGTTCCCGCTGGCGAGCATGCGCGCACTCACCAGACGTTCGCCATGATCCATGTCTTCTTAGGAATGCGATAACCGAGGTACTCGTCCTCTTCCGAATTAGCGTGGGTGACCAGTGGGATCGCAGGGTTGAACCTGTGAATCTCCTGTATTACACAGTCGATGTAAGGGAGAGAGGCGCGGTCGTGCATTTCCGGGAGGCGATCCGTCCCTACCACCGTCTTGATTTCCTCATAGGCGCGTGCTTGCACCTCAGGATGGCGAGTCAGGAGCAGTATCGCAGTGAGTACGGCCGTAGTAATCTACATCGGAAGGTCTATCTTAGTGGCGATTTCGTAACTTCTGAGAAACACACTCACGGTATCTGTCCCCGCTACAGAACTCAAGATGAGTGAAGCGTCTATCTGGAGAGTCCGGCGTGAAATATGACGCACCACTGAAGAGACTGCCGGCTGCAGACATAATGATATCTTCTTCCTCCGGCGTCTGCTCAGACTCCTCGAGGGCATTGCGCACGAAGGACAACGGAGCATTGCCTTGCGACTTGAAACCGGTGTTATCAGCAGGCATGGTACCGGATATAGCATATTTGACGAACCAATTCTTTCTTGACATGGTAGAAGGGCTCCCTTGTGAGACGATAGAAGGCCGCTTTCGCGTCTTGTGCCCAGCGCTGAAAGCCCGCACCGGGGAACCACGCAGGGACGTACATCACTACAGAAGACCTAGGTTTGTAAACTTCCAGGAACGACAGCATGGAGTCACTTACGCGCGGGGTAAAAGTTGACGGCCCATCGGCCAGGTTGCAGGGCGATCCCAGTCTGGTGCATGACCTCTCTCGCCATGGAAGTGTACTGTGCATCTGGCTTCTTACCGTATGTGAATAGAACGACCAGAGCTTCGATGTTCCTTCGCAAAATCCAGCATCAGCTCTCGTGGATTGCCTAGCGTCATCAATGACATACCCGCCAACGTCCGTATAGAATGTCTCTGGGGAACGAAGGAAAGCCTGAAGTAATGCCACCGACTGGGAGTTCAGCAGGCCTGTCCAGGTGGTCCCAATTGCGGTAGTGTTCAGCGCGTTGTGTAAGACTCTGCGTGAACGCTTCAAACGTTCTCCGTAGTACTGAAATCCGACGTTCTTCTGACGTCCCAGCAGCTCAGCCATGGGCCATCGTGGCTTGCACGAAAAGTGGCTGCGCTTCTCAAGTAAATCGGTCACAGCTTCTGTGGTATTGATGACTACGATGGGCCGCGAGGATGTCCCCAAGGTAACCAAAGGACCTGGAGCAGGCGTGAGATGCTTTCCTGCACAACATCGCTTTGTGTCTTACCGACAGTATTGGACCACGTCGCGTAAACCTTCCATGGATGTTCAGCGGATTTTGCTGTAGAGGGAGGACCTAGTCGAGGCCGTGAGTCCCCGTCCAATCGCAAGACGGGAACATGCGTACCTGGAGGTAATGGCCGCTTCGGCCTGCTGGCAGGGAGAACGAGCCAAATAGCAGCAATTAAGCATGCAAACACGACGGAGATCGTGGCTGTCATCTGTAGGCACAGTAAAATTCGGTCAACGTGGTGCGATGTGATTTGAAGTTGAGGCGTAAGATAGAGAGGAAGTTATGCACGAAAGCGCAAGACAATGCTATCGCCAGAAGTCGTCCTCGCATCCAACGCACGCCATCCGAAGAACACACTGATAAACAGACTGCCTCATTCGCAGAAGTCAGATCGTCGTGTAGTCTTCGACGCGATCTCCACGGAGAGATAGCATATACCCACTCAAGAAAGACCGGACAAGAGAGTACGGCTATGGTAGGAGGCTGCCACGAACGAGCAAGACAGTCTGCTACCAGGCGTTGATGCGACAATTCTGAGAACTCACCTCCTCTTCGAGTAAATGGTTTGAGAGACACGTTTGTACGCCGTCTTGTGCCGCCGTCTGTGGCCTTGGGTGCTTACAATTTTGAGCCCGAGTTAGCAGCGATCGTTTTCAAGGCACCGGAGCCTCGTCCAGGCGGATAGTTGTAACTCACCACTGTTCACTCAAACTGCTGATCACCTAATAGTATGAGCTTTGTAATATGTATCGGAATTGCACATTCACTGCGATTGAAGGACTCGTACATACTCGTTACTACGGAAGACTGATTGAACGCCCGATAGAGCTGGTCAGTTGGTGCATCCATCAATCGGAGACACTGACCTAGTGATACCTGTGTGGACGATGTTCCGTATCGTCTGCCCACGCGGCTTCTACTGAGGCTCCTTGGAACGGGGCTTGATCCTGCGAGCACTGGCGCTGCGATAGAAAGTTTGAAGGATTGCACAGGTAAAGGTACAAAGATGTACCAGACGCAATCATTCGGGGGGATCTAGGATGCTGGTACATCAACCAACCATCATAATGATCCGCCGCGGTTGGCACCTGGCCCAGAATGCAGAGGGAAATCAAGGCACAAGCAGACATGATCATGCGTTGGCTTAGAGCGAGTTGCACATCGGCAGCTGCAGCCTTTCTCGAAGTCGAGAACAAATACGTTCGCCTCGGTCGATTTAGAGAGCTAATCAGGGGGTGAGTCGATCTGACGCTAGAGACGCTGAATGGGATGCTGAAAGGGGCCCTGCTGGGCGACACGCTCGGTGAGGTCCCAGGCCATCAGAATACCAGATTGTCAAACGGGCGGAGCACGCAAGGGCCTAAGTATGCATCAAGAAACTGCTGTCGCGCCTCACCTCCTATCGTATTTTCGCATCACCGGCGGAAGTTGGCCGCCTAAATGGCGTAGCCTGAACCCTGACCACACTCACACCCATCCGTCGCAATTGTACCAAATCAAGTTAAGCTTGTCGTGAACGTCCTTCTCTTACGAGTATGCCGCTCGCAGGGGGCCGACTGTATTGAGTAATGATCTGAACAATATTCAAGATGGGTATCGCATGGTTCCCGGGGTCTTCGTTGGCTGTTGGCTATCTACCACTGGACAGCCGCCCAATCCGTCACGACGCCATTACTTACGAGGTCCATGCCGCTATGGCAAAAGCATATGTCGGATGCGGGTCTGATCTGGCAGACTTCTGGGAGCTCTTCGTGAGAAGCCACGATATTCCAACTGCATAAAGGCGCCTACCCCTGATTTGCAGTAACGGCTTCTCAAAGGACAACTCGTTTGCATCGCGAAGTCGGCAGCCACCAGGACAGATATGACGAATGACTCTGCAAGAGATGAATTACAAACGCGTACCTACGCATTTCAGGTCCGTTTCATCTCTGAGTCTTGAAAGGATGTCCCTCAGAACTACCAACGATGCAGCCTGCCAACGCTGCCGCTGAGGAGACAACACGGTTTGTGACAAGCATCCTTTTCATATCGACTTCTGACATGGCAAAACAGGCTCGATGACCTGAACATTGCTATCAAAGAATTCTTCGGAGGAAAGCTTTCCTTTGCGCCCCTTGAAGACCTTCAACCCACAGCAATCCTCGAGATAGGGTAGGATCACCTTCGTGCGGAAGCACTACCGCTCTAATCTTCGTCTACATTCAGATCTGGCACTGGCGCATGGCACGTACGGTTCGGCTTGATTTCCTGCTGCGAAACTTATGACTCCCAGGGCTATACAAGCAGCAGAGGCATTCCCTCAAGCTCGCGTGGTCGCAGTCGACCAGAACCCGATACCGCCCCGGTACGCCTGTTTCCAATCTTCTGACTTCCTCGTAACTAATGTGTTTCTCCTAATAGCCCTCTACCGTCTAACATCGAGTTTCACAAGCTCGATATCACCAAGGGCTTACCGTTTGAGGACGAGACCTTCGATATCGTGCACGCCCGACTTGTCTTGATGCATGTCAGTCCTCCTGGGTAGCGCGATAACGCTTGATACTGATTTCCTACGTCTAGGTGCCAGGGGCGAGAGAAATCCTTCGCCGCGCTGTCCAACTTCTCAAACCCGGTGGGTGGATCGTCGTGGAAGACCCAGACGATAGCCATATGGTCGATCACGGGAAGCCACTCGGACCGGGCATGGGAGCCTTCGTAGGAGCGTGGCTCAACATTCTGCGCTCTCGCGGTGCAGAGCCCTGTTTTGGTCGTTATCTCGAGAGCGAACTGAAGGCCATCCACTCACTTGCCGAAGTGAATGTAAGGAAGGTCACAATTCCGATTTCGGGAAACAGCGAAGGTACCGTATATACACGAGCACCTATGGCGCCACTAATACTCACCTCCATCACGCAGACCCCGAGGAGAACAAACTCGGGCTCTCTTGGAAGGTCAATATGCTCCGCGTGGCCCGTGACTTGCCGACGCGTTTTTCCGATCAGGGTATCACCATGGAGGTTGCGGAGAAGCACCTCGAAGAGTTGGTGGATCCAGCGCGTAGCATCACAACAGATATGTACTTCTCCTGGTCCCGTAAGCGGGTGTAGATTGTTAGACAACATATAGCGCCCCCTTATGCCTCATAGGCGTCGATCCTGTGTCGTAATCTATGTAGCTGCAATGTTGTATAGATCTAGTGTTATGCAGATGCTACTTCCGTATCCCGCAGGTTGACTATCAACTCAGCGAGAGTGATGGGACTCCCTCCCGAGTAGGAGCGCAATCAGCCAAACGATTAATAAGCGGAGTCGTAGAGTGCCGAAGAAAATCTTGACAATGTATCAGTGAAAATCACAGAATATGACGAACATACTAGTAGACGTCGCACAAGAAAGCATGACGACTCTCAGTAACGCAGTAGTGCCAGTGGCGCATAGGACGTTGGACGGTCTGCTCCCACCGGCTCCAAACTCAATGCCGTTGTTGACCACCAGATACGCCAAGGCAATACTCCGTCCAATGCGAAGAAGAAGCGTGCCTGGCCACGCATGAGGACCTGGGGCTCAGGGCTCGACATCTACTCGACTTGAATCTGGAGACCTGTTCAAGGGGTCACCTGCCGGTCCCCGCGTAAAGTCTTCAGCTTCCTAGATTCCATTCCGGTTACATAGTATCTATGTACTGGTGCGATGTATTGTGTTGCTCCTTACGATACAGATGAAGGCCTTCGACTTCAGTCCACACAACGAACTTTGGCCAGAAAAAGGAACAGCGCCGGCTGATACGAGCCGTCAACATAGCGCTTCGCGCACACGTCGATGTTACCCTTGCTTGATACCGGATGAACAAGGAGCCCAGCTCCCCTGGCATAGCCGTCCAAGCCGCCTGGACCATTCTGCAGCGTACACACCAATATTTCCGGGATGCTCGATAGGCGGCTTTCGCGAGAAATCAGCTGCGTCCACGAGAGGTGTACCTGGCCTGAAGTTTCGCCTTGCAGCGCCCAGATCCCCGATCTTAGGCGCCTATCAGCCGCGGTCTACTATGAACCGGCCCGAATGGTCCTCTCGTTGATCGTGACCGCCTTCATCTGCTGCTTTGCAGGTCTTCACAGCTGGGTCAATCTCACCTTGTGAGCATCACTCACACTTGAGTGTTGGGATGTCTACTGATTAACAGGCACAGACAGGTCCAGGGGCGTTTTGATGGACAGACGTTGACTCTGCGCCGTCTCTTGGCGAGGATGTGTCTGCTCCCTCCGCGACATGGACGTCGAGTATATCAAGGAGGACGTCGCTAATAGGCATTATGCGCACAGATGAAACTCATGGAGTAATACGACTTCCGTAGCTCGGACGCCGCCCTGAGGCGGGTACCTATAAATTGCACCTACGGGCTTCGACGCAGCTCCATCACCTCCCCTCACCACCTTCTTCCACTGCGTATCATTGGACCTTGGCTGAGGGAGGCGAATATGTCTGTCCTTAACGTTTCCTCCGTCCTTCTCCTGCTCTTCTTCTATCTCTTCCCTGCAATCAGTGCCGCAGCACCCCACCATCCCGCACCCCGGCAGTACACTACGTCCTCTCTTAATGTCGGCAACGGTACCACTCTCGCGTATTTAGATAGTGGCGCGCCTTCTTCCAGGACGTACACCACTATTTTTGCCATTCATGGCATGGGTTTCCAGAGTCGTAAGCCATAGCCACATAACGCCATCACGAGTACGATTTGACCTATAGTTCGTGCAGCTGTCTGGGAGAAGGTCCTCGATCTCGCGCCCGCATACAACACCCGCTTTGTTGCTATCAACAGGCGCGACTACAACGGCTCAACGCCGTACACCGCCGGCGACCTGAACGTGCTCCAGAACGGCACCGTGTCTGAGCAGACGGCGTTCTTCCAGCAACGCGGCGAAGAGATCGCCACTTTCATCGAGCTGTTCATCAAGCAGAACGGCCTTCCTGCTCCTTCCGCAGACGGGAAGACGGGTGGTGTTGCCTTGTTAGGCTGGTCGCTTGGCAACGCGTTCGGCGTGTCTACGATCGCCAATATACAGACCTACGCTACTTCCACCCAGCAGACGCTTGCGAAGTATCTGCGGGGATTGGTCTTGCAAGGTGTGCAAGCTCGTTAGATCTCACGTCTTGAACCCGTGTGCTAATATCATCGCTGCATCGCCTCAGAGCCTCCCTCTGTCTCCTTGGGCCTTCCTCTCCCACCCCAGTCATGGTCCCCGCAGATCGACACGAGCATCCCAGCTGCGGACCGTCAGCCCGGCTTCGTGCAATGGATCACTGCCTACTTCCAGCATGGAGACCTTTCGACGCGCGACGTCAACGTCCTCGAATACGTCTTGCCGAGCATCACGCACGTTCCGAGCGTGTTTTCGTTTACAACAGATCAGCTCGCTGGAGTTACGAACCTTGCTGCCGCGAGTGGCAGTGATACCTTCATCGTCGGCTATAACCAGGCTGCGCTCCTCCCAACATACCGGAAGGCCTTGTTCAACAAGACAGTCCGCGCCGCCATCCCACTCCTGAATGTGCTCGAGTTCACCGGCGATATCACTGCCAACTTCGGTATCGTCGCGCTCTGGCAGATCCAGGATGACGATGCTGCGGCTGGCGGCGGCTTTGTGAAGACGGAGATCCTCAAAGGGACGAACCATTTCGTGAGTGTTGCGCTCTGACACCGCTGCCTGAATACCGTCATGACTAATGCGTGACATTCGCAGGTTCACTGGGATCAACCTGCACTCGCGTTGAGTACCTACCTGAGTGTCTTCGATTGAATAGGCTTGTAGGCCCTGCACGTCGGATCAGTGTACCTCTGCTTAAATCGTCGTTATAGCTCTTTGCATCATACTAATTAGTAAGTCTGCATCTAAGCAGACGGCTTTCCCTTCCATTCCTTATGCACCCTAATTACATGTGCGGCGAACTAGACGGTACACATGACTGATAGTTGTGGTCTATGACCCTGTCTGTCGATATAATGTGAACGGTCGTCTCCACCTCCCGTATCTTGTGACACTACCTGGGACTGGCTTGCTTCTAATAGGCATAGAGTTCTACTGGATCGACACCGACGTAGCTATCTCTGTCACTCAACAGCACCCTCTTGGTTCGAACTGCGAAGCTACTAAGCACAGCGTGATGTTGAGCATAAGGTGACCCTGAATCTCGTTAGACTAGCTGTTGCGACGACGGCGACCTCGGGTACAACAGATCGCAGCACAAAATGCAGCGTTATCATACTTGTGTCTCTCCACTCATGGCAGTACTCGGTGATGAAGTTGTCATCAGCCTTGCTTGCTCAGGACACGCATCTGATGCTACGGTTGCTGAGCAGGTCAGCTTGAACTTATGATGCGTACTATTCGATGCACATCTTTTGGTTTTGATAAACAACTCTCAATGACGTTGGGGGTTGCGGGAGTCGTTGGGCGACGTCGAGGCATGTGTCGAGGCACCAGCGCTTGACCGATCCCGGGACCGAAACCATCAGCAGGGTCCGAACCACATGGGAGATACCGACAAGTTGGTACAAAGTCGATGATCTTCTGTCGTCGCAATCTCCCGCGCCTTACTAGTGTGACCCCAGAAGCGACGGCCCAGAATGTATTTCGTGCATATCTCCATCGCATCTTCCCCCATAAATCTCAAATTTGGCACACTTGATCTGTATCGTAGACAGTATATACCCGTAAAATATGAAGGCAATCGGTGGAATTTTGCTTCGAGCATCGTGGCATTACACGTCTGACCCCAGAAACGACGGAAAGGCGCCCACAGATTGTCACCAATGGTCACGGTGCCGAAGACTGCCGATTTAAACACCGCCATTATCAGTCGTTTGATAACGACGTTGGCGGAGGGAACACTAGTCGAGGCGCTCATAATCAAAGTCAGCCTTATCTCGGTCAGTGGCTGAATGTCACGCTCGAGAGACCCCCTTCCCATTCCTCAGGTACCGCAATCCGTAATCCTTCGAAAACTGAATAATCATACTCAGTGCACATGTTAGAAATAATT